TGAAGCCATGTTTTGGTTTGACTACCGCTAGCTCTTTTTCAGCCTGACCCTATGTCAGCTAACATTGCCTGTTGGTCGAGGAAGGCGATGACTAGGCATACGTAACACATGTCCTAAACATCTCAGTCGATATGATTTCACAGCCTTGTCGATTGATTTCTCCTCCTTACCTAGCAGTCGATGGAGGCTTAACCTCAATATTGCTCACCCTATTATGCCACTTCACACGGAGGTAGAACACAGGCACCTATGATCAAAGACAGCCAGCTAGTCTTATCATGTCTTCCACTCTCAAATGGCCAGGTCTCACAGCCATAAAAGGAGGACGGAGCGGACTGCTGAGCAGTACACACTCCCTTTAGTCGACAGCCAACCGGATATCACGTCTACGCCAGAGAGACAGCGTAAACTGGCATATGCGAAACTAGTCCTATGTATCCGTACTGAGATTTCGTCAGCGATCAACCCGTTGGTGCTGGCTGATGGTACTTCCCAAATAAGTGAAGTGGTAAACACGCTCCGCTAACCTGTTCACTCCCTATTTCTAAGCTAGGAGTTGTCGATGTAGTCCAGTCCTGTAGCATCATCTTACATTTGGCGGGAGTGAATCGCATGTCAAACATTAGAAGATTGCTGTTCAAGGTGTTCAGAAGACTCTGCATTTTGTGAGCGTCTTCACCTGGGATGGAGGACTATGTCATCTGCTTATTCTAAGTCAACGAGATTATTCCCCGGTAACAAGTCAATCCCCGAGTCTCTGAAGTTAGTTTGGGTTAAGTTCATTAGTATATCTATGATGAAATTGAATAGAAACGGGGATAGTGGGCATCCCTGACGGACACCACTGGTTGTCACCAATTCAGATGACAGCTCGCCTTAAGCCCCCACCTGGCTGCATGAGTACGAGTAGAGTGCCTTGATCAGTGCAATGTATTTTCTCAACGTTCCTTTTACAGCCAAGCATCGCCAGAGTACCTCTCGGTTGACAGAATCGAATGTCGCCTTTTGATCAAGAAATATAACGATTACTGGACGCCGGTAGGAATGCTAATGTTTTAGAATCTGTCGAAGGGTGAAGATATGATCAATACACCCTCTTCCTGGCTTAAAACCTGCCTGGTTTTCTCGTGTTTGTGCCTCCCGAGCGCCACTCAGTCTACGCAGTATTATTCAGCCTACGACTTTAGATACTATATTAGTCAAGCTAATCCCCCTGTGATTATCATAGGAAGACTTGTCTCCCCTTTTGTATATTGGGACAATCAGTGAGTTACACCAACCCGATGGGACTTCCTCTGATTCCCAGACGCTGCCTAGTACCTTAGTGAACGTAGACAGTAAACTGTCTCCACCGTACTTAAATGCCTCTGGAGTCATTCCATCAGGTCCTGCTGCTTTGTCTCGTTTCAGATTAGTGACAGCTTTAGTAACCTCAGTTAAGGACGGAGGACCTGTGTCTATATCCCATTCAGAGAGGTGTTGGATGTTCGGCAAGTTAAGTGTGGCTGTGGGCCAATTAAACTGCTCCTCAAAGTGTTCTTTCCAGCGCTCCAGTCATCTATCCTGGGAGCTAATTATGGTGCCATTTTTCTCAGAGATTGTATCACTTATCATTTGCCTTTTACCAGTTGTTTCCCTGATAAAGCCTCAGTAGTTGTCTGGTGTTACTAATCACCGATGCCTTTTCCATCTCTTTCGCTCTTTTTCAGGTACCTGAAACAGAAAGAGGATTAGTGTTGCGTGACAGCAGAACGCAGGGGACAACTGCTTGAGGCCGATCACACACGGCCTGTATGAACTGGTTTCATGGTTTGGTTCCGTATTAGTAAACTTACCGACGGTTACGGACCACCTTAGGCTAAGTCAGCATGTACAATTTTTGGGGTCGACCTTTCCTAACCCCGTATCTCCGGAGTGGAGACAGCATAGCTGGCACGCTGGTCATCTGAGGGAAACACCTCACTGCTGTTACTTCCCTGTTCCCCAGCATAGTGTAACAAAAAATTTTTACACTATACCGGTAACTGCTTTTAGTCTAATCGCTATCCTAACAACCTTCCTAGCATGGTAGGACCTACAGGAACAATAGTTCCAGTCAGTGTAGCTTGTTAGGTCATTGCGATGTGCAAGCCTGACCACCACGTCAAGGTAGCAGCTATCGATCGAGATAGGCATTGCTTCTTTACATCCAACCAGTTGACTCCAACCAGATAGTGAACACCTCCCCATGTGGCTGGCTGGCTCAAACCAAAAGTCAAAGAATTCATGATTTGATACTAGGTTTTGATTTGACCAACTCTAACTCTTTTCCAACCTATAGCCCTGTATCAGCTAATATTGCACGTCGAGTTAACTTGTCGACTCCTAATGTACACACACGCTTTAATCAATCCCGTTAGGTGAACATCATGTAACCTCTAGGTATCACTGATCACCGAGTAACTTAGAGGTTTCCTCTCAAACGAAACAATATAATGTCATTCTACTTTACCATAGTGGAACTGTAGCTCATTGTGATATAAATGCTCAATTTCGAACCCTTCTCGACCTGTCGAGGTTTGAGCGGTTGGTAGGAAGTGTCGCACAACAGACGTATGGATTGTTTAGTTTGATGATGATAAGATGGTGAGTTATTTTTTCCAGTGAGAATTATCTTACATCATTAGCTACATCACTAACTGTTCACATTTATTTTTCTTCATACACACACACATCTGTTTTTAGTATTATGCAGAATTACGCAATTGTGTCATCACAGGATTACCTTTAGACAGGCAAGAATCTGTTACTAAACTGTTTGATAAATTAATGGAAGAAGTCGATTGTAGTGTAACATTAAAAAATCGTGATAAGTAAGTTGAACAGAAATATTTTACCCCTGATTTCTTTTTTTTGTTGTTAAACTGCTTTTATTTCCTTCAGTTAAAGATGGATATGTTAGGTGTAAAATTTCACACACACACACGCACTTTTTGGCAGTATACAAGACGAAAGAGAAATACAGTCATACTGACATAGACTAAAAATGATACAGCTAAACCTCAAGTCTCTTGCCTATGACATCTATAGACTCCACATCGCTAATTGTACAGAAATTCTTGTTGTGTACATCTGTGCAGAGTTATCCATTGATCCATCAGTTACTCGATGGCAGAGTTTAGCAAACTGGACTGTAGCTGCAGTACACACAACTCTACTGATCTGTATTTGTTCAGATTAAGTAGCTATTATTTATTATATGTCAACTTGGGAAGTTCTGATTAAAAGAAATATTCGGTTTTCAATTAGACCCTCACGTGTTACGGCTCTAATCTATCTTGGCGTTTGAAACGATGGGTACTGGGTTCGAGTCTGAGTGAGAACTCTATAGCTCTGTGTCGTGGCGGGGGGCAGTTACATCCAGCTAATAACGGGTCCCAAATGGGACGGATCCTGAGTTCCAGTGCGCTAGTCGCCATCCGTTTTCTGTCTTTAGAATTCCTTAATGAACAAGAAATGAACGTTTACAGTACATCTTGAAACACAAGTTTCCTTATAGAGGATACAGAAGTCGGTGTTTCGGTTGATAGTTTCAACACATAAAATCCCCCGTTTCAACCAACGGTACAATAGTGGATAAAGACCATAGATAAATCAAATGATATCATGAACTGGTCATTCACACTTAAATCTCTAATTCTTTTGACAAATGCAAAACTACCCTTCACGCTAGGCTTTATCAGTTCATTGTACAAAGGTTGTACGAGTTTCACCAACCATTTAGCTGTTACATGATAATACGTGAGATTAGACGTATCTAGCACTTTCGGCAGCCCATAGAATCTCGGTATGACTGTACTCACAAGGTTGAGTAATCTGTATAAACTTCTTGAGATAATAGCCTGTTGTAAAGATCTTTTTAATAACTCAATTAGTTGTTTCTCAATCAGGTCAGCAGAAGTTGAGATTTCGTGATGATCATTTAGTATGCTGTTTATCTTGTCTGCATGTTCTACATCATAAGTGACTAGTCAAAAACCTTTAACCGGTCTAGTAATCATTAAACCCCCATTTATGTGCAGCTTATCTAAGGCGCTTGCTTGTTCCATTTGATTTCTGCTCAACTTAATTCTGTCCACTTACCTCCATTGATGAAGGTACGAAGTTTCTAGTTTGCGCACTGATCCATTTCCACCAAATCAAACATGTGTCGCAAAACTTAGGGCCTAGGAACAACAAGTGTAAATCTATTTCACCAAGAACAACATCCGAAAAATCATAGATTTGCAAGTAGTGTCCGTAGGCCCTAAGTCTTGGCGGAATTATGTTGGGATTAGTAAAAATGGATGTGCAAGTACAGTTTGACAACCCCTATAAACAAACAGAAGACTTCGTCAATGAAAGTAGTTGACAGACTCGTTGATTACTGCTATAAATATACGCATTCAAAACTGGCCCTCTATTATATGCTTAGCCGATAAAATATAGGAATTATTAAAGTGTACTGTCAACCAAACAATTACATGCTCAATTAGGACCCAAAACTCAACCTTAATGGAGTAAGATTGTACGTCTGCGCTCATCCAGTGTAAATGCTTCTCATACACAGAATAAGGGTGCAACCGTGTATAATATTCGCCTAAAAGTATGTGTATATCGGAGGCTGCAAAATCCACTAACTAAAGATGTCTTGCCGTAATATTTAGACAGCAGTATATCTAATTTGTATAACTGCATCACCAAAACTCATTGTAATTTTTGTTTTGTAGATTTACACAGAACCTCTCCAGTTTTAAACATGCTCTTGGAGACTTCATCAAGAAGATGAACGCTAAACCAGATAATGGTATCACGGAATGCGCAGAACAGACCGAGTGCAGTAATAATGAACCGTATATTTGTTTGGGTAGCGCAATATTACAAGCGGGTGAACAGCTGCTTTGTATATGAAACCTTCAAACTAAGACAAGATGTTCAAAATAAACTATTTTGTACAATATTTTCAATTATAAAGACTTCATTTAGCATAAAATGCATTTGTTATGAACATTGGTACATAGGGCTACGTGAATACTGTACGATTTTGAAGTCATTCTTTGCAGTAAGCCTGGAATTCATCCAAAAAACTGAGATATAATTTGTGCTCTTCTGAAGTACAGAAGTCCTGTAATTCTTGTTGGAAGTCCGCGTTGAGTCCTCGCTCCATCAGCAGTTGCATTGTGTGCTCATACATGTTCTACAAAGATAAGTTGACAGTTACTTAGCGGTTAACGTCTAAACTAACAGAAATAACGCAAAATAAACCTTGGGATTTACTCACATCGTCAAACAGGTCAGTGTACACAAAGTAACCTGGAATCCGTTCCATCTCAACAGAATCCACGGAATAAGTGGCTAGTTAAAAGAAAGAAAATCCATTCAAAACGTGACCTGTATATTATAATACTTATCTAAATATAAAATGAGTACATAAAGGCTGTCTACAATAGACAGTTGTTAATAGGATACTAAACTGCGGAATGCATCTTGGCGACTCACGGGTGAAAAATTGTCTCTACATCCAAACATGCCGTATACCCCACTTAATTAAATTCAAAGATACAAACTACACATTTTTACTGCACTTCGATTTGCTTTGGGCCTAGAATGCTCTGCTTAATTATCACAGCACACTTGGAAAAATCTTTACGATTTAAGTCATGTGAAGGTGCTAACTAAACATGTAAAAGGAAGCAAACTTCACTTGCATTCACAGTTTGCAATATGTTGAAAAAATTACTTAGCTGTGCAGCACCCTAAATCTGCGTACGAACAGCTATTCGGTGAGGTGTTTACATGACACCAAATTCGCAAATTAATTAGTTAGACGAGTAGCACGAACCATATGCATTAGAACTGTCGTGTTCACGTTTGAAACAAGTACACAGGATACAGTCATGGTAAAGAGCAATCCAATAGAGCTACGCTGTAAGAGGAATCATGAACCTTGTGTTAGCGACAAATCCGTAGCCTAAATAGAGGTATAAGGGACTTATCATGAAGGTTCATGATAAACAAGAGATTTTAGACTGAATAGTATGCCACTATGGCAAGAACAGTTAGTTACATTATGTGTAAACTATTAAAATATAATTATAATTTATTCACGTATCGAGATATACGTGAAGCAGTGTCGGTCTACGGTCTAAGCTCTCTTTGATTAACAAGCCATGATCTGATTCAAAACAATTTCAACACTCGGTATGATCACGGGCAGTAACTTTGTTCGAGGCCTACTTCAACCTGGGCTACTGGGTAGTATTACCAGTACCAACTCAGTGTTTGCCTCATAGACCGGTTTGTAAAGTCTTCAAGGAGACTAATTTCCAAAACTTTACATACATCTAAATTTGGGAGATCTACTCTAGAGACAAGTGGTCCCACTCCTCTATTAGGTGAGGTAGATATTTGTAGATCAGTGGACCTAGACAGAAGTCTATTTAGTACCTATCACAGTGATCTTGATCACGTATTCAGTGAATAACATTATTCACACTATCCTAATTTTACTCCTACACTAAACTTGATCATAGTTTAACAGCTGGCAGGAATAGACAATTTTATACTGTAACAGTATTATGACATCAATCAGTAAGCGACCATAACAATCAATGTAGTGCGTCACTGTGCATATTTACTTACAGACTCACCCTAAACCTACAGGTGATTTGTACGTACCAATACACCAGGAAAGTGACTAACTAAAACTCATCCTGCTTAGCAATTACGACATTTTCAAGAGACTTACGGAGGTTGTTTTCTTCTTCTGTGGCAAGTTGCTGTTCGACTTCTCGGCTTGGGAGACTGCAGTTAAAAATGACAGCTCGGCCGCTAGGTTTTGTAAGCTTGATGCGAAGGTCTGGACGGGCTTCCAGTGGTATATCCTCCTCTGGTTTTCTGTCAGATGAAGTCACACCGTCATCTTCGGCTGCACCAGGAGAAACGCTGCCTGCCAGGTTAATTTCGATGTCAACACAACTACAAAATAACTAAAAACAGCACGTAACTTACACTCCATCACTATATTCTTTACGCAGGACGAACTCACACCCTTCGCGTTTAGCTATTTGGAATCCTGTTGGAGGGTTGCATGTGAAAGAGTTTTCTTTTTCTTGTTTGATTTCATCGGTCAAGACTTGGTTGAATTTCCGGTCAACTAAAATATTTTTCAGTAATTATACTAAGTTTTTACTTTGTGACGAATAAGTCCTGGTCGCAATAGCACAGTAATTGATAGCATTGCATTGTTTGTGGGATGCAAGAAGACGAGAACCGGCTGTTCTAGCATTCGAAAATGCCAAACGGCTACCACGGAAAAACAGAGAAGCCAACTTCGACATTTCACGCAGTAAAGTAATGCCGACCACAGACACGACCTAGGTGCAACAAAACATTCTGGACTTCAATACTCAATATGTGAAACCAACATAATTAGTGTATAGGACAGTGTCAGTGTTAGTATCCTCTGTACGTAAATTAATTTTTCATACAAACTGTACAGAAAAAAATGTACAGTCTTGCAACAGCTATTGCGCGAACTTTGAAAATGGATTGAATTTTACACGTTCTTCTGCGAACCTCTGGCACAGTGGCTGTGCAACGAATTCCGTAGTACGACTACGTTTCGTGTGACAGAAGCCACTGCCACTCTCAGTGGGGCTCTAAAGCTCATGGACTGCAAAAGTCCTTTGCCAAGGGAGAAGAGCGACTACCTCTCAGATACCGATGACATGACTAGCGGCATCGACAAGACAACACATGTTCCTGACGTGTCTCTGTCTCTGCCTTTCAGCATGGAAAAGCACCCACCATATTCCGAACACCCACGCCGCCCCTAAGATACCCAATAAGCCCTACAGTGACAGTAATGGAAAGACTGGCACGAGGAAAAAGCATAATAGAGGCAGAAAACCCGTAGCTAAAGCCGCCCAGGGAATTGTGGATCAAGTCTATCCACAACGGTGGATAGCAGGCAGATACACTCGACCACGGATAGCGAGGAAGGCGCCAATGAATTGTGTAATTTAGTCTTCCGCAAGGAGAGAGACAAGACCAGAAAAATGGCCATAGTGTCCACGAAAGACGGAGACACAAGCCGCAGAACAAGAAAGTCACGGCAAGCAAACCTGATTTCTTCGACAGGTCGCTTATTCTCCATAGAGTAGAAAAATCACCGGCTTCCTATCCCAAGGAAGCTTCGAGCATGATTCCCAAGAGTATATGTGGTTGTATTGTTGAAAGCTATTGGATTACTGCTTTTGATGTAGCCATATAAAAGGCGAAAGATGAAAGTTAGGTTGGGTTTCAGGCGTATAAACGAAAGTGACTGAAGTTCATATTTTTTGCACCCATCCGCGTAAGTCAGTCCTTCGTGTTTGTGTAATAGGCGTCTTGTGAAGCTTCGTTGAATATTTTCAATACGAACCCTATCATAACCATGCATAAAACCAAAGACGATCGTGCAGTATTCAAGTAATGGACGACTTTGTGCTGACTTTGTTTAAGAAGACTTCAACCATCGGTGTAAAGGTCTACGAGTTTTCGGCATTTAGAAACGACTGATTTTTCGTACTCACTGAATGTTAAGTTTTGTGAGTGGGTAATGCTTAGGTCTTTTACGGAATTGAGGGGAAAAGAATCACCAAGGCATTAACTGAAATTAGCATGGGAGTTATTTGAGTAATTTTTTAAATTTAATTTAATTTTTATTATAGCTTGATTCCACACAGAATTTTTGTACAAGTATGAAATTTTCAGCATGTGATATCGGTAGCCCAAATTTAGCAGGCCGACCATAGATATCAGGTGTGCGTTTGCGGGGGATCGAACCTCGGACCATGTGCATGGTCGGCTAGAGTCCTAACCACTGTGCCACCGACGCACATTTATCAAACTTGAATGGCAGTTGCCACTCACTGCTCTAGTTGTGTAATCTATCCAGATCGTCTTAAACATGTGTGAATCCCTTATTCAGAGTCAAATAGGGGAAGCTGTGTACAATCTTTAGGTCGTCAGCGACGAGACATGGGACACCGTATTCGGTTACACTGCAGATGTCGTTAATGTAAGTGAGGAAAAGCAGTGGCCGCAGTACACTTACCTGAACCACTCCACTTCGTATGGGTCTAGGTGACGGGTAATTATTTGACAATTTCAAAACCTGAGAACTTTCTTACAAGAAAGAATTGAGTCAAAATAACAAAGGGTCTCGGAACCTGTCTAATGTGTGGGACTTTATCAAAGCCTTTTCTCGAGTCGAAGAATAGAGTTGAGACAAGCAAACCATGATCACCGTTAGCAGCAACACAATCAAAGTGGTCAAGTAGACAGGTGGAGCACGATCGACTTTTCAAGAAGCCATGTTGCGCTGGAGTAAACATCTTGGCGGCCTGCTTGAATTTTGGGCTACCAAATACCTTAATCATTACAAATCATATTGCATCTAATTGCTCATTTCCAATTTATTTTAAATGATTAATTTTTATTCTAATATGTCCTCTAATCGGATTATTTATACTCGTGAGTATTTAATATCCTTGAAACCTACTGATCGGAAATGCCATAAAAAAGACAAAAAAGCATCATGCCGGGTGGCAAAGAGCCTTAAAAAACACCCCCATTCAATTTATGACCGTTCCTGCAATCATGAGTACTAACTGTTGCTCCCTGCCAGCCAAGATTAACTGTCTTCAATCACTGGTGTCTCCCATTATATATCGAAATACTGGGATCATATCACTTCAAGAAACATGGCTACATGATCTATATGATGACAATCTAGTGTATCTGCATGATTTCAAACTATTCAGACAAGATCGATGTAGTTCTAGGAAGAGACGTGGTGGCGGTGTCGCCATCTTCATAAATTCACAATGGTGTACATCTAATAAAGTATGTTTTAAATTCTCTAGTGACAACATTGACTGCCTCACCGTCAAATGTCGACCTAAGCATATGTCAAAATATAACTACATATACATCTCGAACATCTTGATGTGCTCCATTGAATGACTAGTTATCATATTGTTCCCATAGACAAAATGACTGCAACCTTATAATTTTACCATGAACCAAATTTATGTAATTTAAATAATACTTATCCATGCCTGTACAATTGGTGTGTCCTACACAGGTAGGAAAAAATGTATTTTATTAAATTACTATTATTAAATATGTTTACTAATCGTATATGTAATTTATCATATTGATGATGCCTGTAAACTGGCGTCCCTCATGTACAAAACGAGAATATACTATTATTTATTTATTTATCTATATTGCGCCTGGATGCAATTCCACTGAATTGTCTTTATTTGCCGATGAATTTACCTCCTTTGCTGCCACTTCCTTCGGAAACTCGTTGTCTATAGTTACTGGAGATTTCAATTCTAGTGATCACAGTTTCCTTATTTCACTTGGTCGTGATAACATTGTCAACTTCCCGACTCGAATGGATAATATTCTAGATCTTGTGTTCACAAATGACTTTGGAATATTTGAAACTGGGAAAAGAGCCCCACTACTTAACTCTGATCACTGCATCATAAGAGTATTGCCCAAGGTATATGGAACGCTGCACAAAAGGGTCTTCTCCCACCTTGGAAAGAAAACACAACACAGATGTTATTCACATGACAACATACAGAATCTAAGGACAATGTTAAAAGACACAAACTGGGACCTGTTTACTGAACAAGCTCTTGACAACACAATTAGTAACATGACACATTATCTCAATTTCTGTCTTGATGTTTGTTGTCCTAAAGAGACAATCTTCTTAAAGTTCGACCGTTTCGCCTCTTCTCAACTCAAAAAGCTTCGCCGTCAAAAAGAAAGGTTATACAAAATGAAAAATAAATCTGGTGTTAAGAGAATAAACACTTTGATTAAAGCCGAATTACAAAGATTAAATGCTCTCTATAACCAGAAGTTTCTTTCATGTAAATCCTCATCTAATATGTGGAAGCTATTAAAGGAAATCACAGGTGGTAAGCAAATAATGAATGATACTTCCGTTGATGTTGATATGCTTAATAAATCCTTCATATGTATCCCTGCAGATGTTATGATTCCCAAATCTAATAGTTTAAATAATGAATGCTTCTCATGTTTTAACACGAATGATGTCCTCAAGTGTCTTCAATCTCTCAAACCTACCCAGTCCCTTGGTCCTGGTGGAGTTCCTGCTGTTATCCTTAAGAAGTCTGCTGACATCTTATGTTACCCATTAACTGACATTTTCAATGAATCTTTTTCCAAAAGAATTATTCCTGACTCATGGAAAAATATCAAGGTTGTTCCAGTGCCCAAATCAACAAGTGGACCTACTGTCAAGTTTAGACCCATTGCTAGTACCTCACCTTTTTTAAAAGTTATGGAAAGACTTATTTTACTAAATCTTGAACCCTCTTTAAAGCCTTTTAATGACCCCAACCAGTTTGCCTATAAACATAGTAGGTGTACCTTAGATGCCGCTGTAGTTCTATATCATAATATAGTCTCTAGTTTAGATAGAGGAGCCAAATATGTTCGGTGTGCCTTCCTTGATTACACATCTGCATTTGACTCTGTACCTAGGTCTCTCTTGCTAAGTAAGCTTGCTGCAACACAGAGTGAGAGCTGGATAAATAAGTGGTTGTATTCTTACTTTTCTGATAGGAAGCAGTACACTGTCTACAATGGAAAGTCCTCCACTACCTCACTTACTTTAGCTGGTGTTCTCCAAGGTGCTGTTCTTTCTCCTTTTCTGTTTTCTTTTTTCTTACATGACTTGCCCCATTCCGATGTGGCCACTTTTGTCAAGTATGCTGATGACCTCTCTGTCTCCATGCCTGTCAACTCTCAGTCAGACTGTTCCATATTAAATAACTTTCTATCGGAAATTAGTCAGTGGTCCTCTTCAAACGGTCTTAAGCTGAATCCGTCTAAATGTCAGGTAGTAAATTTTACTTTCAGACGAAAAAGTGACCTACAACAACTAGCTAGCTCACATGGTCCCACTATCATTGACGGCATAGAGGTTGAAACTACATCTAATGTCAAGTACCCTGGACTGAGTATTTCCTCCGATCTTTCTTAGTTCTCTCACATCTTGCTAGTTACTAGAAAGATGTTTCGCTTAACGTTCTACGCTAGGAAGTTAAGGCAGTCTAGTATAAAGCAGTGTTTGCTTTCTCAGTTTGTCAGTTCTTGTATTCTAACCATCCCTCTTTACTGCTCCCCATTAATCTTCCCTGGACTACTTAAGAAAGACTTTGCTTCGCTGCATAGGGCACTAAAAGCTGTTAGTTGGGCAAGTGGGATATCGTTAAACCAACTGGTTAACACTATTGTGGATAGAAATATAGTGTCATGTAAGAAACTAGCGAATACTATATTGTCAGACCCCGAGCACCCTCT